ATATGTACATGTTGCACTGTACATGTCGCTGCACTTCCATTCGCACTCAACAATGCACTCTGTATAATTTAACCTTTATTATATTATCGTATCCGTCTTTGCGACACAGATTGTTTCCCACTACTGTCTTGGCCACACAGCTTGCAATTGGGGGTTCACCAGACGGCCGTGCAATCTTTACGAAACCCATCCAACAACAAGAGTTTGCGGGTTTCTTGGGTTCATGGATTTGTTCAAGCTAGGAGACCATGAACAACAGCCTCCGAACCGGATGGTATAATAAACTCTTGGGAGGTAAACTTTCTCGGTAATGTTAAAGAGCTATTTTTTGTATGTGAATATATAAATATATCGTACTACATATGTGTATAAATTAATATGACTATAGTTGCGGTTCGATACGCAAAAAAACTTGTTTGATGGATCGCTCAGAACGATTTCCATTGATGTGTTGTTTTTTCATTCGGAAATCCCTTTCCTCTGAGGTACTGTCGCACCGCGCGGCACTGCGATTGGAAGGACACTGGCAAGGCTGGCTTCATCCACCTTGCTGCCACCTTTGCAGTCACTGCGCAGTCGACACAGTCTGTTTGACACGGATATCCCTTTGGCATCGCAATGACGCTATGAAAAGGTCATGTAAAAAAGGATGCCGGATGCCTTTTTTGAAGCCATGGAATGTCATGGATGGAATCTAGGTGGCCTTGAAGAGGCGACAAAGGGACGAAGCCGATGATGTCGCTTGCGCCATCGAAACCGGACGCGCTTAAGCGGTCACTGAAGCGGTGCTTGGCCCAGGCAAACCTCAGCCGTTTGTTGGTTGAAGCCAGTACCGACGCTGTCTCTTTTCAACCGTGTTCTCACTTATCTTAACATATCTTAACAAAGTGCGACTGAGCTGCAGTTGCTCCACCCATGTCCTTCGCGCTTTGCCTTACTTCGCATCAGTTTGGACATCCCTGAGCTTTCTCAGGTCATGCACGTTATAAACACTTGCAGCTTGCTTGGCTGTTTATACCTTCTTCTTGTTTTCGTTTCCATGTTCAGCTGTCGGAGCTGCTCTCACCAGGCTTCAGCTTCTGGAGGTTGCTCAGTCGTGGCACCTCCCTTGCTTCGCGTCCCTCTTGCAGCAAACACAGGACCACCAGCAGCCGTCGGTCCAGGCTGTTCTTGTCACCTGAGAGTGGAAGTCTCTCGAGCCTCCAAATGCACACAGCTTGCACTCAGCTTGTCTGCGGGTCCGCTCTGAGGCCGCAGCGCGCAACGGTGAAGAGTAGCATCCTGAAAAGGCCATGTTGAACAGCTTAGAAGACCAAAGCTTCCTGTGGTAAAAAAACGTACAGTAGATGAGCATGACATGTAGCAAGCAAAATGCACCCACGAAGGGTTTCTCTAAATCTCCTGAGGGCCAAAGCACGCATCTCGGGAGCACAGCCACGTTCCCACATATCGAAGATGGTACTGAAAACACCCTCCTTCATGCTGTTGCCCTGCACCACCTCCAGAAGCTTTGGCCACAACATGTCGGACGCCTCGGCCTGAAAGAGCGGTTCATTCTTCAAACCTAGGGCAGGATGCCGACCAATGCAACAAAAACGGAGAAACCATTGGAAGACATAGAATTGAAAACTCCTGTCATTGAAAAACATAGACCGCTCAAGAGACAAAGCAAACTGAAACCAACGCCGCCTTTCACATACCGCCGACTTCGAAACAAAGCGAAAGGACCCAAAAGGAAAACAAAGGTATCCAATACATAGAGCTGGGTGTCCAATGCAGTCGATGTCCGAGATAGAACAATTGAAAGAATCGAGCTCTTCATGGTCCAAAACATGTCTGACCCAGGCCCCTGGGTCCATTCGTTCCCATTCCAGCTCCGTCATCTTCTGCCCTTGCTTCCGTGCTGTCAGCAAATGTCGTCTCCAGCGAATAAACCGATTGGCAGATTCGATGTCGCTCTGCATGCGAAGCAAACTGTTCCACAATTCCAGCTCCTCTTCTAAAGAAAGACAGCAGCTTTGGCTCACATGCGCCAGGTGCGAGATGTAGCTCGCAGCATCCCGGAAAGCCTTCCCTGCCAAGTCAGCATCCATTCCCTCATTGCGAATTACTGCCTGCACCAAACGCAAGCGAACCTGAGTTAAAGACGGAGCGAATGTCTTTCATGCGTTCAAATAACAATTCAATTCCTGTGCCGGATGATGTTTCTCCCAAACCTGAAGAGGTGCCTTTGTGCAAACTTAAGCGGCGCAAGTGGAACTAGTTTTAAATAAGCTGACCAATGGCCTCCCGTGCAGAGGCGACAACTTCTATAGGACCATAGAATATCCTAGAACATCATTAGAACTAGGTAACACGGAAAACAAGAAACAACATAGAAACAGCACTAAGCCTCTAAGCCAACCTGCATATTATTTGGGGGCACCATCGTGGCACGCCACTTCACTTAGCCTTGTGGCCGCCACAGCGTCAGGTGCCCGGTCCGATGCGTCGTGGAGCGCCATGCGGAAGGCGAGGCGCTCGTCGTGGCGGAGAAGGCCATCAGCAGAAGCCACAAAGGGCAGCAGCTTGGCCGCGCCCTAAGCCCAAATGGCCCAAAGGAACCCAAAGATATTTCAGCATTGCAATTGCACATGATATTTAAGGAATGAATAGGGCCAGGAATAAGAAAGGAATGGATATGAAATGATAGAAATTTGGAATAACCATTCCAAAAGTGGCGGCAAGAAGTCTGCTAGAGTCGAATGTTTAATTAGAATGGGCCACATAAGTGACGCAATTGCTTCAGCTTAAACTTGGGTAGCGTTATGTAGCGTTAACATGATTCGTCTTCAACTGGCCTCATAGTCCCGCTGAAGAAGACGACAACAAAGGAGCCATAGTGCAGAGAGGAGGCTGGGAGATTTCAGGTCAGTTCCAGTGGACAATGTAAGATCATACGCAGCTATGGGAGTAAAGAAAGCTTCACCAAAAATGGTCAAGTAAATGTCAATGCCAAAAGCTTCTTGATAGCATCGGCGTCTTCTTAAGCCACCCAAGGGAGCCACAACCTGGCAAGACGGGCTGTTTCACACTAAACTGCGTTTCACCCAAACATTTGACCGTTTGACATGTCTTTTTCCTTCCCGTCTGTGTTCAGAACCTGTGCTCAGAACAAACACACCGCCAAACGGATCAGACCTTCGCATCGCCAGCTTCAGAGCGCAAAAGGAAGCAGTGTGGCGGCAAGGAGTGCGGGCAATTTGGCAACAATCGGCGAATGGATGAGATGCCAAAGGCATCCAGGTACATCTGACCACCGAAGGCGTCGCAATACAATTTCTTCTTGAAAGCCAAAGCAGGAACCTGGACTCCGTCCCCAGGCTCCAAAACGGGGCCGGAACGGAAGCGGAAGCGAAGCTGCAACCTGGGCATCTCCACCAGACCGATTTGGCCACTGGTGTCGCTTTCGGTCCAAAAAAGGACATGTGACAAAGGCTCCACCCTGCTGATGTCTCGCCCAAACTGGAAGAGCTTCGGATCTGATGAGCGAGTCGCATCCTGCAGTTCCTGACAACCTTCACCTTGTTCCCGCCAAACCCGCGCAGTGCTCCCGCCATTCGAAAGCTCCAAGTGCAACACGTAGTTGAACCAACGGCTCTGCTTGTCTCTTGGCCTGGTCGCTGGTCGGACGTCTGCTCAAGCCTGCTTGTGATATCAATAACAAAACGGTCTTACTTTTGAAGTAGCAGCAGCAGCAGCAGCAGCAGCGTTTTTTTAGGTGTAAGGGGGGTTGAAGACCAGCCCCTAAGGCAAGCATGGTGGCAATCCTAAAGCCTTGATGCCTTACATTCGCTCTTGAACTTGTTCATTGTATTTAAGATCCATAGTCACCAGACCCCCTTCCCTGCCACCTGTGCTAGGGGGCGCCTTCTGCTCTTCTTTCTCAATGCACTTTGCACTGGACCCCTCCTCCATCATGGCTTTGTGGTTCACAGTTGGTTGTCTGACGCTGTATGAGCTCTCTTCTTGCATGAATGTGGAATGACTGAAGGATATTGAAGAATTAGGGCCTGAGGCTTTACCTGGCTACCTATCCCAATGTTCTTGTCTTCTTGTCGAATATGATATCTCATATATATATATATATGCGTGTCAGTCTCCACCAAAATGCGACTAAAGTCAGCTTGCTCCCAAAACAAACCATGGTTGTCCTCCCTTCCACTAATTCAGAATGGAATCAAACCACCCATCCACACTGATTTAAACTCCCACCCGCTTCACAACAACAAGAAGACTTTGGTTGGAGGCCATCGCTTTACTAGGTTGGAGGGATCAAGCATGTTTCCAGACCGCCATCCAGCGCCTTCCCCGCCACCTGAGCTGGGGCGGCACCCTTCAGGAAGCGAAACGCCATCGCTAGTAGGTTGGAGGCCATCAATAGTAGGTTGGAGGCCATCGCTCTTGAAGTCTTAGGGAGGAGACCATTCCTATTATAAATACAGTATATAGGTTGGAGACCATGGGTCTTAAAGCGCCCATCTTGGCCCGCCTCCCCTCGATGCTAGACTCGGAGATTTGCCAGAAAAAGAAGTGTGGCAAAAGCACTTGAGGCAGCAAGCCCCGCAGGAAGCGCTGCGGCAAATAGCTCCCGGCAGCGCTCCTTAAGACCAAGGACTTCCCGTAGAACTCCAAAGGTCTCAGGCGGCCAGCCTACACCGGCAACACAGTTCCGAGATTGACCCGAAAACGACGACCTTGTGGACATTTTTGGAGCAAAGTTCAAAACGACGACCTAGTCAGCTATGGCTCAGACCGAGAAATGCGAACACAAACACGTCGAAGCCGCCTGGTTCAACAAGGCCTGGGGCACAGTGAAAAGCTCATGGATCTCTTCGGGATCGTCACTGAAAAGCGATTGCCGCCGCAACGAGGTCCAAACAGCTTCTCGCAAGGTGCTGCGGCCATACTCCTGCAGTTGGTAGGCAACCAAGAAGTCCGGATGGCCCAGCATGGATTCGAACTCCAACCAGAAAGAAGTCACTGCCCGAATGCTGCTGATTTGCACTTCGCAAACACAAATCGTGCGTGCAAGTCCAAGTGTGGGTGAAGAAGGTTGGCTGTACCAACGAGCCCCTTTCCACCATTCGCCAGCAAATCTGCAATACCATGGCTCCGGCTTATTCAGAAGTGAAGGATCCGCTGGTGGCGTAGAAAGGAGGGCCGCAAAAACTGCACTTCCTGCACCTTCATGATGGGTTCTCAAATGCTTGGGTAGGTCGGCCACTTTCAACTCAGCCCACGTCTGGCCTCTCCACAGGATCCCACTCGCGTTGTGCGTCGGGTGGAAGGCATAAGGGACCCCTTCCCCTCCCTTGGCCAGCTTTACTGTCGTCCGGTCGTACTCCAAGGCCAGCGTGAACTCAGGTGGCGCCTCGAAAAAGCAGATGAAACTGAACACCAACAGCAACTGTGTTGAAAAAGTAAAGTAATTGCATGATGCTGTGTATTTTAGTCATGGTACCCAAAGCTCGACTGTATACTCAACTCCACATCGAAAGGTGAGTTTCCTCGCGTAAAGGGACTCTGAGAGTGGGAGGACGTTGGGGCGCTGGTCCCCCAAGACTTCTTGATAGTCTGGATCATCGAAGCAGTCTGAAGGCATCGGCTGCAATGTTTCACGGGCCTGAGACGGAAGACCAAACTCAAAAGGCCCAAGAGACCCAACAGTCCGAAACAGAAACGGGAGATGCCAGCGTTTTCAACGCATCACTGGCCAAGTAAAGAACTGGCTGATTCTAAGGCACATCTTCTCAGTAAAACTGCTAGGCTATTTTTCCCCATCTAGAATCCATTCTTCTCTTTCAAAGTCTTCCACCCTCTGCCTCAAAGCTGATGTTGGCCATTCCCAAGTCCACACGAGCTCCTTGAAGCATGGTACACAAGCCCAAACTAACTAAGTGCCATTGTATAAACAAAATATATAAATGGAAACTGTGATCAAGAACCCAATCCTCAATTCTGCCCTATGAGCGCCCCAAGTGGATCTTTACCGACAGGAATCAGGAACCTAACCAATTGTGCCATCTGCGCTTTATGTGTATGTGTGTGTGTTTGTGGGCCTTTGAAAGCCAAAAAGCCTGCAGGTGCATGCAGACTTCGCCCCCAGCTTTCCCAAAAAAAGATTGAAGAACTGCTGTCTCCCAAGAGTGACTGGCACCCGTCAGTGTCTTTTGGCCGAAATTAGCCTTGCCATGAATGCTTGCAAATACATATGACATTGGTATGATTTTTACATATATAATATATACTGTGTACATACATATATATATATAGCGTGTGTGTGCGCGTGTAGTCTAGAGCCAAGTCATTGCCATCGCGGACTTTGCAGGTTTAGTACACAAAAGGTGCCTGGCGACGCAAAGGTGGATGGTGGACCCGTAGGACGGGTCCACCATGGAGGGTTCATATGTCAGATCATGTCGGATCTATGTGCTTGCTTGCCTGCAGATTATACGGCCACGTTCTGCTGCCCCAGATTTGCGCCACTCGTGCTGAAAGCAGTGGAGGCACAGAGTAAAGTGAAGCAAAGCTCGCAACTCCAAGAGGCTTTTGGCAGCCAGCCCTGTAGCTAACACGATCTTTTTGGTGTTCGGATTGAAGGGCCAGGGCCAGGAAGGGCTATCCAGGACGCCATTGCCAAGAATCTTGGACCGACAGCCATATGTACATACCCGCTGCTGTGAGCAAGAAGACCTCTAACACCCGTGCCGCAACCAAATGACAGTTTTCTGCACTGCCTGGGGAGGGGCAGCCTGCAGGTGCTTGCTTCCAAATCTGCTTTGACAATCCATTCCCCAGTGTAATTACGAGGCAAAATGTGCTTTAGCTGCTTTAGCTGTGCGCACATCTTCTAGGCTCCAATCGCGTTTCCGCTGAGCAGGTCTTGAAAGCCCTGATGTATGGAGTATGGACGTGACTGGCAGGAGAATCAAGTGTCCAAGACTGAACAGCCTTTGGTCAGTCTCCTTTCTAGCAAGCCACCAAGCGGAGCCATATGAGCTATCTGCTAACATAGGTTTAACAACTACACTCATCACCTCATGTCCCACTCTGCAGTTCTCAGCCCTGCGGTTTCCACAGTCCTGTGAGCCAGGAATCCGCCTCCTCTGCTGCCGATGCCACAAAGCAGCCACCCGAGCCAAGGCCCAGCTGCTGCTTCCGCGCCTGACAACACTTCACCCGCCTCTCAGCTGTTGGTCGTCTTGGACATGCAAGCGATGGCCTCCAACCTACTAGCAACAGCCTCCAACCTAGCGGTGACCTCCTTGTCAAGAATAATTGTCTTATACATCCTTATACCAACTTTACATCCTTTTACTGTCTTTGTCACGAAATGGGCCTCACTTAGGCTCTCAAGCTCTTCCCACTTCTGCCGCACGTCATGCCGCTTGTAGTCCTTCACCGCCTCCTGGACATCACCACCCACCTGCACACTGCAACGCTGGAAGTGCATTGGAGCATATTGGAGCATCCTGTCAGTAGTAACCCAAGCTACCACACGCGTCTACAGTCATCTGCAGGCTGCTCATCGGCATCTAACATAACGTAACATTATCCGCCGGCCTGCCGGCGTGCTTTGTGGACTGCTTTGGTTATCTAGTATTGCTTGCGTTGGCTTCAATCTACGGTTTGTCTCTCCGCGCGGATTTTTCGACAGCCTGACGCCCCCCCCCCCCCGCAGTGGTGGTGGTGGTAGTAGTAGTAGTAGCAGTAGTAGCAGCAGTAGTAGTAGGTAGTAGGTAGTAGGTAGTAGGTAGTAGGTGGTACGTAGTAGGTAGTAGGTAGTAGGTAGTAGGTCGCTGGATCAGAATAGACAACCATTGGACTGAGACATGTCGATCGCTGGATCAGAATAGACAACCTCTGATTCGGATTCGTTCCATTTCATTGTAAAACGACTTCGCTTGAAATCAACAGCAACAAGCTCTCCCAGCAAAATGTGCAACTCCAATGCACCCACAAGTCTGATTGAGCAGGGTATTGTTGTTCGATGTCATTCTGGGTCTTTCATTTCAAACGGTTTGGAGAAAAAACGACAAATCATGCTAGATCTAGAAATTCTTCGGTCGCTTTGAAGCCTTCTGTGTGTGAAAAAGAATATCTGGTGCATGTCGCAATCCCTCGAGACGGTCGAAAAAAAGATCTGAAAAGGAAAACATGCACACGGCCAAGTAGTTTGGAAGAAGAATCGTTTTCAAGGTCATGTTTTGTGGATAGTCTTGGTTCGCATTGCTTGTGTTGGTTTCACTTGGTTCCTCTTAGGTGATTCGACTGAGACATGCCGGTTCGGATCGCTGGATCAGAATAGACAACCTCTGATTCGAATTCGTTCCATTTCATGGTCAAACAACCTTGAAATAAACATCAACAAACTCACCCAGCCAAATGTGCACCTCCAATGCACCAACAAGTATGATTGAGCAGGGTATTGTATCATTAAGCTGCCTGCCAATGCGGGCTCGAGCTGGTGGCCGGCGGCATGCCGAAGGCTGTAAATATACATAATGAGATAGAAGGAACATGAAAGAGCACATTCGCACCAAACATATTTCCTCAATCTGTCTTGCCTCCGAGAGGATGGAGGCGCAAACGAAGTTCGAAGGCTTCGCTTCGGATGGCACGGAAGCCACGGCCTTCTGCATGGAAGCGACGGCCTCCGGCGACAACTCCGCCTCGGCGGTCACGCGGAAGCCGTAAGCCGTGTCGCCGTCGCTGCGGAAGGCCATGACACGCTCCAAGGAGATCCGGAACGAGTCGCTGTTGATGACTAAGCCAGGAGCATCCACTCCTGGCCATCCGGATTTGGCGACGTCATGCCGACTCCCTCTCCACACCAACTTGGATGAGATCTCTTTGTCTCCAGCATAGACTTTCACAAAATCCCCGGTCTCCACTTGGCAAAGTGGGTCGAAGCGCAGAATGATCCGCGAAGCCTTGGGGAGTCGCACGACTTTGGGCTTGAAATCCTCGGAGGTGATGGGATGCTGCGTCTCGCAGATTCGGTAGCACACCTTTGGAGTCTGTTCAGCAGCGCGCCAAACGAGAGAAGGCATGCGCTCACTCCCCAAAGCACCACCTCACAGCTGAATATTTTGAGTGCGTGTTTGTGGATTTGTGTGGGTTTGCAGGGTGTCCTTGTGTGGCTCCACCTGATTAGCATTTGGAAGTAAAGAGCAGCCCCTAGATACAGTCATTATGACTCACCATGATTAGCATGGCACTTGATGCCCCATCTATCTGTGCCACAACCCCTGACCTGATCAATGAACTGTTCGGAATGGGCCCCACAGGGTTCCGCACGGACGAAGTTGAGCAAAACAAGTTTCAGAAGATTACAATGTATAAACCTTCACAAATCCAAGAGCCAAGCCACCTAGGATGAAGCTGAAGTATTTGTTCCGTTCGCTCTCATCACCTTGTTCCACAGCCTTCAATAAAAGCACTCGGTGTCGACTTAACGCACTGAAGACCAAGTGTACCATATCTGCTTGGTCCCCAGGGCATTCCACATTCGCCACATCCCCAATCTTTTCACTCCACAAGCTGAAGGTACAAGACGCCACAGCCAAGCTTTGCGTGTCATCGTCTTCCATCCGCGTGAGAGGCCAAGCGGTCATGGCCAGGTGAGCATGGCACTGCATCAAAACCTCGTAATTCTTCGCCAGATTTGCCTGATGGATCCATCGTGCCAAAACTTTTCTTGCGAACTTCTGCGTGAAGCGGCGGAAGAGCTTGGCATGCTCTTCCAAGCAGAGTCTAGCGTTTTCTTCCGCAACAGCCTTTGCATGTTGCATGTAGTCTTGCAAGAGAAGCGCAATGTGCACCACAAAAAGAAAAGGTTGCACCAAAGGCCCATTGAATTCTCCATGGCCCAAATCTTTCATCGCTTCAAAGAGTTGATTCAGCGAGGGAAGCAACAAATGAGGGCTTCGTAGGAGTTCTTGATGTAACCATCCCAACTCCACTGAAAGTTGGTCGATTACTGGGATTTTCCAATCCGTGGGGAAGTTGGTGCCATAGCAGCCGGGCTCGAAGAGGCAAGAAAAAAATATACGTTGGAAGCGACGATGATGCAGAAGTGAGATGTGGTTGGGGATGAGGAATTGCAGGAGCAAAGGTATGCGCAAACCTCACAGCTCAAGCGATGACATGGAGAGCCAAGCTCACTAACTAGCAAAACAGGAGGGAATACGCGGACGTTGTCAATGACAAACTCAGAAACATATATACATGCCGACCGTGAAACTTGAGTGCCGTGGTCACTTGGGGAACCCTCCGGACATCTTGCACAACACGTCGAGTTTGAACCTTCCAAGGCACCTGGGCAATTCAAGATGGAAAGCAGCGACTCTGCTTGGTGCTGGGTCAGGGAAAAGTCGAAGTCTGGCAGAACAGGCGTTGAGAGAATCTCATTTTCCATGGCCAAGCCAAACCGCAAATACGGCAGTGCAGGGCAGAGTAGCTTGAGATGCGTCAGGGAGGCTTGTGTATAGACCTTATTTGGGTGCCTCTGGAGCAAAGTGCAAGGGCTTCCAATCTGCACTGTCATCTTTGTCGGTGGGTTGAAGAGATTAACCGTGAAGTCCATCTTCGCAACCTCATTGGCACTCAAAACGTGGTCCACGGGCGCTGTGGCCCCGCCATCCAAGGCAGAAACCAGGCTAGGCACACTGGCCAGTGTCATCTGGTAGAAAATTGCCAAATCACGCACTAGTTCCCACTCGAGGCATTGAAGATTGTTGTCAAAAGCCAAGGCTAAATCCATTTCCCATTCCTGATAGGGTCGGTCCACGCGCATCAAGGATTTGGGCGCTTGGCAGGTCTTCCCCATAGCATCCCGAAGGTCCCTCACAATCTCCAGGATGCTGTTGCCCACACCACTCACTTCAGATTCTTCAGACTCAGGAGGTCCAAAAACAAGCGCTGTGTCTTGTAGGCCTCGCTGGCCAAAGAGGGCCTTTATGAACCACTCAAGTAAACTTCCTCTGACCTTTGTAAAGGGCCTTACTGAACAGAGGAGAGAGGAGGAGAGGAGAGAGGAGGAGAGTCACATGGCCCCTTGGATTCCTGAGGCTTTTCTTGCGACTATGATCTTCCTGCCTGTGTGGAGCAAGTTGTTGGCGGCTGCATGACGGTTGCAAAGGCGTGCACGAACTTCGCCTGAAGAGCGGCTGAACTTCGCATTGACAAACCATGGACGTGAAAAGCCAGACCTGAAAAGCCTACTTTCAGCATCTTGCAGCTTGTCGGCTGGACCCTTTCTGAAACCACAAAGGGCAGCAATTCAAAAGCAAAGCCAAGGAGCAGGCAGCCGGTGACAACATAGGCAACCAAGCAGTAAGATCTGCAAAGGTGGATGGCCGACCATCCGGCTTTTCCCAGGGTTGCAGAGAGAAAAGGGGGCCTTTTCGTTTCATCACCGAGGACAAGGGGCCATCCATGTTGCAAAGCAATACTTCAAATAATTCCAACAAAGATGCCATGACCAGCACAGCTGTAGCACTTGCACTTCGACCCAATGATGATGAACGAAGTGCTGCCAAGTAATGGGCACCCAAACGATGGAGGCTTCGAAGGAAATCTTTCCCTTTGAGCGCTGAGAAGTCTTTGGTCCACAAGGCGCGGCTCTCGAAGACCAAAGACTCCACCACTCCGCAAATCAAACGTTTGGACAAACGCGAGCACTTCAGCACTTCCTCCAAGCGATCCTTAACTTGAGATAGTGTCAACATGTTGGATCATCAAAAAATATCATGAAATGTCAGGCCCTCCCGTTTTGCTCAGAGAAAATGCAATGAAAAAACTTTGTGCAAAGGCTGCCAATCTATGATAAATAAACTATGCACAGCTTCGCACATGAGCAATGCTTGGGTCAACGCTTCCAAGGAGGGACCACCCGCCGCCGCCTCTGCAGAGGCAATTCCTGTCAAATCCACATGCGGGTTTGATGCTTTAGATGAGGTGGGGCCTGCAAAAGCAGTTCGAACATCTGGAGGCACCAATGCCGATAGAAACTCCATCCTGAAGCCACCAAAGCCCGAGTTTCCTTGAAACTCCATGGTGACTGGAGCCCAATCTGAAGGCTCTCGTGCCAAAAGCCCAAGCCATCGCATGGGAGGAGCTGCCAACCAAATCTTGTGCAAGCACATGTGTGCACGAGTCACTGCTTTGGCCAAGTCTTCATCCCGCACACATCTTCGTGCGACCTGTTTCAATGCCACAGTCAAAACAATGCGATCGCTGGTGGTGAGTTCTGATGACCGGGACGTGGTGTCCAGGTCTTTGACCATGTTCTCCAAGAAGTAGAGCCTCATGTTGAACATCAAATGCCTTCGCACTCTCTTTGGAACTCCGAACTCGGCCAGCAAGGTCCGTAAGGCCAGGAAAACGCATTTCGCATAGCAAGTCCCAGCTCGTTGAGGAGTGGTGAAGCCTGCACCGAAACCTACCACTTCTGGAGCCTGGAGTGTGGGCAGTAAGACTTCATAGAGCTGGAAGCAGGTGTGACTTCGATGCCGCACTTGGTACATGCAACACCTTAATAGGTCAGTCGTGGCGTCCATGGTCATTCCATGACCCAAGCATGACAAACCTCCTAAAAACGAGTACAAATCCTTCCAACGTCTCCCAACAGCTTAAACACTAGACCCTGTTCCGAATACCCATGACGAGCTGCAGAGTGTACAGGAAGGCCAAGGTAAAACGTTCCTTCTGCACCGGACGAAAACACAGCCTCACTATGTTATTCAAGCTTCAGAAAACCGCACAGGCAGTGCAGACACAGAAGCTTCTTTATTCAAACGCACAAACTTAGCTACTAGTAACAACGGCATCGCTACTGGTAACAAGGGCATCGCTACTAGTAACAAGGGCATC